GAGACGGTTCCATGGGGCACTGAATAGAAAGTATATTCTTTGGTGCTTGGGTGAAACATTCAGTAGATGTCTGTTAGGTCCATTTGATGTGTGGTATTGTTTAATTCAGATGTCTATGTATTAATTCTCTGTCCTGTTGACCTATCTAATGGTGATAATGGGGTATTGAAGTCCCCTACTCTTAATGAGTTTGGATTAATCTGGGTCTTAAAGTCCTCTAGTAATGTTTTTATGAAGTTGAGTGCACCAGAGTTTGGTGAATATATGTTCATGATTGTAATATCTTCTTGGTTTATTGTTCCTTTGATCAGAAAGAAGTGACTCTCTTTATCTCTTCTGATGTGTTTTAATTTAAAGTCTATTTTATCAGATATTAGAATTGCAATGGCTGCTTTTTTCTTAGTACCATTCACTTGGAATATTTTTTCCATCCATTCACCTTAAGGTAGTGCCTGTCCTTGAAAGTTAGATGATTTCTTGCAGAAAAGAATAAGATGGGTTTTGTTTCTTAATCCATTCACCTAGTCTTTGTCTTTTGACTGGGGAGTTCTGTCCATTGATATTTATAGTTATTAGTGAAAAACGTCTATTGAATTCTGTAATTTTTATTTCTGTTCACATTCTTGATATAGCTGTGCATTTCCACAGTTATAACTTCATTGAATTTCTTTCCGTAACCCCTTGGGTATAGTCTTTCCTTTCTTCAGCTCTTTGTATTGCTTCAAGAACTCTCTGAAGGGCTGTTTTGTGCATATGAATACTTTCAGCCTATTTATGTCATGGAAGATTTTTTCCCCTTCAGCTAAAATAGACATTTTGGCTGGGTAAAGTAATCTGGGTTGGCATCTGTAGTCATTTAGAACTGGGAGTACTTTGGTCCAGGTTCTTCTGGCTTTCATGGTTTTCCCTAAAACGTCAGCTGTAATCCTGATGGGTTTTCCTTTGTATATGACGTGTTGTTTTTCTTTTACAGTTTTCAGTATTGTCTCTTTACTCTGTATGCTTAGTGTTTTTACTATGATGTGCCATGGAGAGTTTCTTTTCTGGTCTTGTCTATTTGGTGTTCTATACGCTTTTTGTATTTGTATGGTCATGTCTTTCTTTAATTTTGGGAAATTTTCTTCTACAATCATGTTGAAGATCTGGTACATACCATTATCTTGAGATTCTTCTCCTTCCTGTGTGCCTATGATTCATACATTTGATCTTTTTATGGTGTCACACAATTCTTGAATATTCCATTCTTGTGCTTTCTTAAATTTTTCATAATCTTTGCTTGAGTGATCTAATTTGTCCACACTACCTTCCAGTCTTGACATTCTGTTTTCCATTTCATTCATTCTATTGGTGAAGCTTCCACCTGTCATTTCTAATTGGATTACTGAGTGTTTCACTTCCTTCTTCATTTCAGCCTGAGTATTCTTCAATATTTCTAACTCTTCTGAATTCATTCAGAAGTTTATTCTTAAGTTATTTGATTCCTTTGCTTGTGTGTTCTTTCAGTTGACTGAATTCTTTTATCAGGATTGTAATTTTTCTTTGAGTTCCATGTCCTGTGTTGTATCTAGGGGATTTTCACTGTACTTCTCTAAAGGACTATTGGTACTTGGTGGGAATATATTATTTTAGATTTCATGTGATTATTTTTTCACTGTGACTTTGACATGTGAATTTCTTTTGTAGTTTCTGATTCTTGTGTGAGACTCAAGCCTTCCTTTGTTGAATTTAGGTCTGCTTCTTTTTGTATACTTTATGTGCCTTTGTGATTTACTTGTTGGGCATGAAAAGCTGGTTGGTAGGCTTCAGGTTCTCTCTTTTGTTTTTATATTGGACTGGCCAAATTGCTTTTGTTTTCAGGAGTTCCCACAGTGGACCAAGTCAGATAAGGATCAGATGCTCTCAGGCTTTCCACTAAGGTCTGGATCCCTCCAGGAAAGATGCTGCCCTCAGGAATTTGGGAGCTGGGCTGGGCTGGGAGTAGGGCCCAGAAAACCTGCTGATCCTAGGAAGCTGGTGGCTGTTCCACCCAGGAATGCAAAAGGAGGTGGGGTTGGGAAAAGTCCCCAAAGGCTCCTGGGTACTACTGGAGAAACTGGGTTGTTCTGGATGCAAAGGATCAGGAAGTAGTGGTGGCTCTGGGCCTAGAGGTCAGTCCAAGAGCCTACAGTACCAAGACAAGCACTGGGCCAGTACCCAGGCTTGGAGAAGAGATGGAGGGGGGGAGCTGGGAGGGTGAATGGGGCTGGAGGGGGTTTCAAGGCATGGCGGATGCTGTTGGACTTACCCAGGAAAGGTGCTGGCATCAGGCTATTTCTTAATTTCTTAAATTTTAATTAATTATTTGAGATTTGGGGAGTGGGCATGGTATAGATGTCCCATTTGTGGCTGAACGCTCCACTGACACTTATTCTCTGAACTTTGTCCCATTGCATTAACCTCTTTCCCTTGCACAAATAAACTTTGATGAGATTAAAATCCTTCTATAAACTATGGGTAGAAAGATATTAATTTGCTGGGGTTGGTGATGCACACTTTTAATCCTAATTCTATCATTTAGGAGGCAGAAAGATAGGGTTCTTTGAGATGGAGAGAAAATCTGGTCTACATAGGAAGTTCAAGGCTAACCAGGGCTACAGGAAGACCTTGTCTCAAAGATACAAAAAAAGAGAAAGATACAAATTTAGAGAGCAGTTTGACAATATGCCCTTTTAGCAGAATTATAGTAGTGTATTCAACTCTGGGAACTATGATCTCCACAACCACAGATTAGTGCCTATATTTACAGAACTGGGCATTTGTTCTCAAGTGTTGTGAACCTACAATCTAATTAGAAAGTAATTGGCTATCTCCATTACACTTGGGTCACTATTTAACTCATGGCCATATCTTGCCACAATGGTCAGTACTGCAGTACACAGGGGTCACAGCTGGAAAAATTTCTTATGTCTTTATACTGTGATATTTTCACTTCTGTTCCTTGCCAGGTGCTTCCTGGAAGCCATACGGGCATACTTCAAAGTCCTTGTTTGTAATCATGATTTTAATCCAATATCCTGTATTATGATTGTGAAATAGTTATTTTTGAGACATACAGGATTACCTACATACTATATTGTAATCACGTCATGGGGCTATGTTTAATGATATTTCATAACAAACATAAGAGGGCATCTAACACCCATACCAGTAAAAATTAGACTAAAAATAAACAATAATTCATCATTCATCTTTAATAAAGAACAATAAAGAAACTGAAGACAAATGGAGGCATCTTCTCCCATTGTTCATGTGTAAGAAGATGTGACCACCAGGGATTATCAAAGAACTGAGTAAGTAACCAGAGGACCCTTATGACTTCTTCACATATGAATGCCAATAGCACCCACAGCTCTTCTTTTATTCTCCTGGCCTGAGAACTGCAGTCATATGTCTAGAGAACTGAACAACAAGAAAACAGCTTCTCATACTAGTGAGAACTGAAGTCAAATGTTTATAGGACACTGAATAATAATAATATGGCTAGAAATATTACCTCCCAGACAAACTCAGTGAGAGCATGATGAAGGATGCTGTAATGAACAAGGCTTCCTGCAGAGTGTGCAGAGAGGAAAACAGCTCTCTGTTTATGGCATTGCCAGGGTGGGTCCTCTCCATCCATAACACTGTGTCTCTTGCACACTCTGAACAGCTCGAAGAGCCAAACCCTGCCCTCCACCTCACACTGTATTCCTGCTGAAGGCAAATCACCTTTCAGAAATATCAACTTGCTATGTCCTTCAAAAGAGACAATTGATACACCAACAGCGCCCTGGTGGACGCTGTGTTTTGAGTTGCAAATGTCATTTCCTGGCTTTCTCATACTTCATCCTTTAAATCTGGGGTTCACAAAAATCTGTTGTCTTAATTGTAATAGCTGTTAATTTCTGTCTTATTTAAAAGTTGGACAGGACTTGTAATGAGAAAGCATGTTGTTCTTAGAACATAATTGGTACAGCTAAACACTACTTTATAATGAAAGTTCTTGCATTTTTCAGTTCAGTTATATTATCCCCTATTATCCATAAAATATTTCTGCATTTCATTATTCATCACACAACACAATACATATCCTCACAGAAGTTTTATTTCCACGTAGTGATGTGATTCACCACAGATCTCAACCTACTTGTTAGAGCTAATTTATTTAGTATCTGTTTTTTTGGTATTATTTGCTTCCATCTTGATGTTATAATAGTATAAATATCAGTTGTGAATGACATGATGAGTGTCTGTCCATCTGTCAGTGGGAGAGGGAGACAGCAAGGAAAACAGGGAGAGAGGTTGAGGACATTGGTGTGTTAGGAGTGGATAATATTTCTCTATAACCATACACTTCTCACACTTATGAATTATTACTAAATTTATCACTATAATGATATAAACACATAATTATAAATCTTTTCAATTGTTTTATTTCATTTGACTTTTTCACAACACTGTGGATCAAACTCAGATCTTTGAGCCTTCAGGTCAAGCACCCTAACACTGACTTGTATCCCCAATCTGTTTTGTAGATGTGTATAATGCATATTAGAAAATTAAGCATTTCATGCCATGTGAATACATAATCTAGTGTTTGAAACATGACATATTAGTAAATGACTCAGACTAAGTTATTCCCTAAAATCCACTGTTTCCCAGATAAATATCTAGAATTTTAATTAAGGATACATTTTATAAAAATATTGCTAATATATATGTTAAGGCAACTAAGAGTTTGCAGTGTTCTCGCTGAACCTGCCATCCTGTTCCTATAGCTGTAATATATAAGCTAAGACATATTGAGAAGTTCATGAAGATTATACATAAATTTAGAGGAGTAAATGTGTTCATGTTTTATTGGAATAATACAGTACTTTTATCCTACAGAAATTAAACTGCATTGTTACTAAGAGGAAGGCTCAGCATGAGTTCCTCATATGTCTTTTCCTTTGTCTCACAGTACATAAACAGTGGACAACATGACCAACCACACAGTGGAGACAGATTTCTTCCTCATGGAATTCTCTGACAGCAAGCAGCTCCAGGTACTCCAGGGCTTTCTGTTTCTTCTGGTTTACCTGGTGTCCCTTATGGAGAACCTTCTCATCATCATACTTGTCACTTTGGACCAATGCCTTCACACCCCCATGTACTTCTTCCTGAAGAACTTGTCCTTCCTCGATGTGTGTTTCATTTCAGTCACAGTCCCAAAGCTCATTCTCAACTCTTTGTCTCACAGGAGCACTATCTCTTTCTCAGGATGTGTGTGTCAGGTCTTGTTTGTGGTTTCCTTTGCTGCATCTGAAATTTCCATCCTTACAATCATGTCGTATGATCGCTATGTGGCCATCTGTCACCCACTGCACTATGATGCCCTCATGAACCAGACAGTCTGTTTGCAGATGGTGGCTGCCTCTTGGATATTTGGAAATCTCTTTGGGGTCTTATATTCATATGGCACCTTCTCTTTATCTTTCTGTGATTCCAGAAAAGTGCCACAGTTCTTCTGTGATGTCCCCTCTCTACTCAAGATTTCTTGCTCAATGATGCATGTCGCCATTGACATTAGTGTGATCATTGGAGTCCTGTATGGATTTCTTTGCTCAGTGTCTATAGGGCTTTCATATGTTTACATTTTCAGCACAGTGCTGAAAATGCCTTTGCTACAAGGGAAGTCAAAAGCCTTTTCTACCTGCATGCCCCATCTCATTGTTGTCTCCACATATCTAGTCACAGGTATCACTGCCTATTTGAAACCAGTTCCTGATTCCCCACAGCTTTGGGACTTTTTGGTGTCTGCTTTCTATTCTGTGATGCCTCCATCTATGAATCCTATAATATACAGCCTAAGGAATAAGGAAATCAAAGCTGCTTTGTGGAAAATTTTATGGAAACTAGAACATTATGACTTTTATCAAAAAGCATTCATAGTATATAGAAAGGCTACATGAAATATTTTGTATATTTAACTTTGCCCGTATTTCCAACTATAGACGTTCTTTATCATATGTAAAGAGTTCAGTGCCTTTCTTTAGATAATAATTGATTTAAAGTTCTAGAAGGGGAGTTACAATTTCATCATTCTACATCAACTACAATTGCCTCAAAACCTGCTTGAACTGGATATTTGCTACTTAAAGTGAATTTGTGACATTCTAACCTCTGAAGCACTGTGACAGACTTCTGAATGATGTAAGAAAACTGTTCTCTTCTAACTACTTGATTCCTCTTGAGTGTATTTCTTTACATTACATAGAAACCTTGCATTTGTGAGTAAGATAATGTATTTGAAAATGCAGATTGTCCAAATATTCACAGTAAAATCACAACAACCATTAAAAACTGATAAATTGTTGAGATTTTGCTCAGAGAAACTGAGAAATGAATGTCCATGGTTGAGAGTATATTGTCAATACTGAAGGTGGAAATTTGTTTAATGTTCCACAAAGAGTTCAGCCTCAAGAGCCTAGAAGAGAGATGAAACACATCTTCCACTTGAGATATCAGAGAGGAATGTGGGCATATATGCCCTTCTCTGTGCTCCCAGGATTTGAACAGTGTGACTTGTGGTCACTTCTAAACTGCAAAATTAGAAAAATAGCAGAGGTTTTAATCCAGTGTGAGGAGTTGCTAAGAATATTAGCTTTAACCATCATCAATTTTTACTCTAAATCATAAGTAACACTTTTGAGCAACTATGGACACATTACAGTCAATAAAGACCCCCAAAACTATGCAGGTTATTACAACAGCCTTTGATTGTCTCACAGAACTTGAAGGTAAGACCCTACTGCTGAAGACAGAACATATTTGGACACAGGGTTTGCAGCAATGGAGCTGGGACTGACCTGGAAGCCACTTTCCCTGAAAGCTATCTCTCATAGCTTTGGATAGCACTGTGAAGGTGCCAAGGGAAACATCAATCAGTGGTCCAATAGAAGCTTCAAGACCAAATAACCAAATCAATGACTGGCATAGCATATGGCATTGGTGCAGTAGTGTCACTTTTTATCTTGTGGACAATCAATAGCTACCCAATTGGACTAAAAGTCCACTCAATGGGAGGAAACTCAAGTGTGGTAAATAACCAAATACACATGGCTGAAGAGGTCATAGATCTTATAGAAAACTCCAAAAACTGTCATATATCTAGACAAATGTAATTTCTTACTATGTACAAAATATATATCCTTGCAATTGCAGGCAAATAGCTCAGTTACCACTCATCAAAGAAGCCGTTTTTGCACCAGATGGAGACTATTACCATGTTCCACAACTGGTTACATAAAGACATTGTCTATGACTTGCCCAGGCCTAATTGACACTTGTACATTCCAATTTCTACACCTAAGGCTCATGGAACATAGAACAGTTGTAAAGATATCACCAATGAATCTCCCAATTCTCATTAATAAATCTTCCTCATGCAACAGAGGACCAGGAGCACAAAAGATCACAAGTGGCCAAAGTATAAAGATTAAGAGTTTGCAGAATGCTGGTTCTTAGACAGGACTCCTATATTAAAATTCACCCACCCAGGGCTCAGGAACCATTGTGGAAGAGCGGGCAGAAAGATATTAAGAGCCAGGGAGCAGGTGGCTCAACCATATGGAAACAGAGGAAGAAACAGGAGGTGGCTCAGCCATGTGGAAACAGAGGCCTACAAACTCCCAGGACCCTACTCATGTAAATATATAGCAATGGTGTCAGCATGTACAGGACCCATGCAAACTCAAACACACAAAAACCCAACATAGTACTGAGGAAATGGACAGCAGACCCCAATCTGAGCTTAAGAAATATTGGCAACTGAGTACTTCTAGGTAAGGAAGAGTTGATCTCCTGAAGTGAGGTACTTTAGATAAGCTGACTAGACCTCAGTAGATTAACTTTCACTGAGGAATATCTGGGGACACTAACATGACACTATAGGCCTTAATGCAAATGATAGAATGTATGATTCCATTGGGAGGGCTATTGGAGTGTGCAAATGGGGACAGGGGTATGAAGATTATTAAGACTGATTGAGATGTTCTGTATGAAATTCCAAAAAAATTCAGCAAAACAAAATTTTTAAAATGATAATAATATCTACTCAATGGAAGGAGGAGGGTCCAGGGATCCCTGTCCTTCATTGCTGAACTGCTCACTACTGGTAGATTCAGAGAGACAGGCCATCACTGCTTTTGGTTATGTCCTTACTGGTGACCCCACCCATACTCCAATGGACACTCCCAATTCAATGGTCACACATATGGTCCTGGTTAAACTAAATGGGTCACAAAACAAAACCCAAAGTCATTAATTTGGGAAATGGACTGGTTAGGGGAGGGGCTGATAGGGGTTAGAGGGATAAAAGGGAAGGTATAGTAGAGAGGGGAATCAAAATAATACACATGTATGAAATTGTCAAATAACAAAATTAATGAAAGATAATGTCTACTTTAAAAAGAGAATATTGAAAAGAACAAACACAAGTCTTACTCTCAGAAATTGCACTATATATGAAAAACCTATAATTTTAATGGATTAACTCTTATTACAAACAAATACATTTGATATATTTGCTTTATTTCTGTTTTTGTATTTCAGCTTTATAGTTTTGAAGTCAGACCTTGATAGTACTATAAAAGCAAGATCGAATATTTTTCAATCTTCAATTCAATAATTCCTCAATTCATGGTTTGCTTACTATTCTTGAATTTCTAATTGTTTATTCTTTTTAGCTACCAGCTATATTGAATCATTTCCAAATTAATAGATGTCTTTTATATTTATTTCTATTGTTTGAAAAATATTTAGCTATTTATTTTACTGTATGGAAAGCTGAAAAATCAGCTGAAAGTATTGAGCTTAGCCTTTATCAAAGCATTGCAGACTGAAATCAGCTCTTAGAAGAATGTTTTCTGTGGATCCCAACAGTAGCTTATTCATGTTACAGAACAAATTAGAGAGAGTTCACATTTTTACCTGTTTTATGTTTTAAATTACTGTGTACTGTGTGGAAACAGGTATAATTACTTTAGGAGCAGGGTGCAGGGTCAGCAAAGTTGGATTTGTTCCATGGTCAGCCTGGGATGCCATAAGTAGGTATAAGAGATGGTGCAGCATAAAATGGAGTTTATTTTATTCAGCTACCAAAAATGGACATGTGATATCTGAGGTCACCTTAGTCTGTTCTAGTGAAGGTCTTCTTGTGGTTTGAATACTGCCAGCACCTCATTGCCTCACATGGAACAGAAGGTTTTCACTCTCTGAAGTCTCCAATTACATTCGTGAAGACTCCCAATTCATAATCTAATAGCTTTCTCAAATTTCCATTGCCAGATATCATGTTGGAGTTTGGATTTCACCATGTGAATTTTGGAGGACAGAAACACACATTCAATCTGTAATTGGATGAGTTTCAGTTGCCATTGGCACTTCTGTTTAGCTAGAAGATAAAGAAGAAATCAGTCCTAGTGGGTCCAGTGATACATTTGCAGAAGCCTATATTTTCATCAAATTACAGTTTATCTCTTAATTTATATACATATGTGTTTTAGGACACATGTGGTATGGTGTGCATGTGATGTCAGAGGACAACTTGTAGGAGCTGATTCTCTTTCCCCACAACATGGGTCTCATGAATATGAGGTTTGGCAGAAAGTGCCTTTGCCAGTCTCTCAAAATACTTATGCTTTAATTTTAAAATCACAATTTCATTTGAATTTGTCTTAATGCTAATTTTCTCACTTAGTCACTTTACTTATGTGACATTTCTTTTAATATATTATTAGATGTTTGATTTATTATTCTTACAACCCTATTGCTAACCTCAGTATGATTATGAGAATTGCACTACTTTCTACTTGTTTAAGACATCTGAATTTTCAGATCTTAATTTTGACATATACTTAAATTATCTCGACTTTCTATGCAGAAGAATTAATATTTCACTTATTACAGAATGTCATAGATTTAAGGTCTATATCCCAAAAATGATATATTGAAAATTTTATGCCATTTACATCAAGTTGGCCAATAGGTTCACCCAGGCCTCTTTTCTCCAAGAAGATACTGTCTTAACAGAAACATCTAGGACAAATAGTATTTGTAAAACCCCTAACACACGGTTTAGAATATACAGTACTCTAGGCAAGTTCATAGCATTGTAGCTTCCTACAAGGGCATTATAGGTTCTACTGATAGAAAAACTCCAAATTCCAACTACTCTCTATCAAGAGAAAACCCAGAGGTGCAACATGTACTCATCACTTAGGCTTTGGGGGACTCTGAAAGAACTGCTTTTTCCTCACTGAATTCAAACTTTGTTGGAAACTCTTACAGTTTGTCTGGTTCTGGACACTGAAGTGAAAGGTGAATACAACTTCTTTTTCTTTCCCCAAGAAGACAAGATTACTGCAGTGTACCCCCTGAGGGGAAGAAATCATGAATTAGAAGCAAAGGTAAAAACACCAACTGAGAAATTGTACATAAAACACAGAGCAGACACACCCCTAAAAGAATGTTATAGTCCCCCAGACTTCTTAGCTGGCATGACTGGTAAATTCTTATTCTATGTAAAGGCAGTAAATGAACAGGCAAAAAGTGACAATTTTCTAAATTCCAGATGCCCAATGTCAACACACACACACACACACACACACACACACACACACTCACAGGGGCTATTGGTGTGGCTCAGCATGTATTTTCTGTGTAGGCCTGACAAACTATTTTGATATCTGGAACTCACATAAAGGTGGAAGGAGAGAACCATTTTCACAAAGCTGTCCTTTGACCTCTGTATGTGCATCCCTCCCCAACAACAAATATATACAATAATAAAAAATTAATTAAAAAGGAAGATGAACCATTACTCAGCAACACCAAGGAAACAAATACTTAGAAATGAATCCTTACAATACATTAATTCATGAATCACCCAAGTTTTACAGATGCCCAGTGC